AAAAGAGCTTCGTCTTTAAGATTTTAGTGGAGTATTTTAAATTGCAAATTGAACAACTGTTTATCTCCGTTTATGAATCGATATTCCTCTTGGGGTTTTATCAAATTATGCTCGCCTTTAAGATGACACCCTGGAGATATTTAACCACAACCATTCCACCGTGAATTTCTCCCAAAGTATGTATAAGTGAAATTAATGCATATGACAATCTCATCAGAACCCACTACCCATCATCATTACGTTGATATCGCGATGTCACTTCCGACATGTGTGTATGTGTGAAAATTGAATTCTCAAGTATTGAGGAGCAAAAAGTCATCATAAAGATATTAACCCGTTTCAATCATTGAAAAGCAGAGTGGAACATATTCCACTCTACTCCTCAAACCCGTCATCAGGGCGTTGAAGAGTGAAGCTCAAACACACACAAATACATTCTGTAAAAATACGGAAAATTTCCCACAACTCATGTATTTTCCATTACCCTGGAGGGTGGGTATCGATAGATGGCGGGGAGGCGAAAAAAAGGCCGAAGAATTTGCAGTAGAAGGATTTTGAAGTCTTGCGTGGCCTCCAAAGTCGATGAAGCGAAGAAGCTCCTTGAAGAGGAAATTATTAAGTGTTTTACTGGCTTTTCCTCCACACAGTCAGTATCTCTTTTCCCCCACACGCTGGCCGACACTCTGACAACAAATCACATTAATCCCGATTGGTTGAGGGTGGCTGGCTTGAGCGGCTCTGAGAGAGAGCAAAAGACTACAATATTTCCACCTTCTTCACCGTCCGTCCCGGATAAAAGTGTCCAAGGATGGAAAATGGAAGTCACAATTTCACCCCTATTGTCATCAAGGAGGACACATTGGACATAAATTGACCTCCCATTCCGCCCACATTCTTTCTCTAAACTTCTCCACCGACTCAACTCCCCCGATACCCTCTTCCGATGGACACCACGGTCGATATACTGGAGGTGAATGGGAAATTTCCCATGGAGGACGTAGAATAATCACGCTGGCCTTGTTGCTGCACCCACGAAGGAGGCGAGTGGATTTATTCCTTGTCACAGAGAGCGTTTGTATGGGAAGCGCGTCTGTGATGGGAATTTTCTTCGTTACTGAATTTAATTCAATCAAAGACACGAGCTCGCCTTGATGAAATCGACCGCACTGCAAATTTACTGGTGCGCCCGAAGGAAAGAGCGGGCGATGGCAAAATTTCAATGAGGAACATCAACAGGGTGAGATGTGACAGAGAATCGAGGGTGGCTAATTGAATATTTAGCGGTACACTTCACCGTTCCCACCACTCGGTGCATATTTCGCAAGCTCTTGCAGCTGTAATGTTGGAAATTTATGCTAAACCCTGGCAAAAGAGCTAGTTAGTCGCCCTCTTGCTGTTTTCAAGTTTCTTTCCGCCGCACCGAAGAGACTATCTCACCGCAAGACAGTGTCTGCTGACATAGCTGATGCGATGAAGATTTAGTGAAATCCATCCAGGAGAAAATTGTCATATTTCCGCCTTCCACCCACGCGCATCGCAAGACAAGCACGATGCACCCAAATGTAATTGTTAATAAAGTTCCACTGGCGCTGTGGCGTGTTGTATTTCCCTTTTTCATCTATTTGCAATTCAAATGGAGCGCAATGAGGAATTATTTCACGATACTCTCTGCCTTTTTGGATCAAAATTATCCCGAGACTCTGGCTACACACACTCAAATTGCCTTATTCAAGGAACAATTGCATGGTATTTCTCATCATTCTGCAATCTCCACATCTCATTCTTGAGCTCTGTTATTATTCTCTTGAGCCGGAGGGGTTGTCATACAGGAAAGAAATTGTTGCCAATCTTCAAGAAAAAATTCAATTTTATCGTCTTGTGATAGTAGATTGAATCTTCAATGTCAAAGAGTGCAATTTCAGAAGCAGAATTTTGAGTAACTATTTTAAACTGTGCAAAAGACTTGGACAGATAAAAAATGTATTTTATTTGGAAAAATGAAATGGGTTCATATAAGATTCTGCGAAATCATTCCAGTTCGCCGGAAATATAAAATTCTTTTTTTTTATTTACATGAAGAAAGCAATACTATTTTGCAGTCAATCATATAAATATAATTACACCTTTTGTTCCTTCTGCGAAACCCCGAAACGAAATAGAGGAGTAGAGAATGTAATGTTGCTTAGGATGGAAGAAAGAATTCTCGCAATAAAAGAGATACTATATATGTGCATGTACATAAAATGATCATTTTTGATTGATTCCAGCGTGGAGGATAAGGCCGAGAAATTATGGAAATGAGCAAGAGAATGTAGGCAGAGATTATTTCAATATTCTAAGCGACTTTTTCAGCTACATAAAACAATAAGCTGATTGGTTGTTCGTCCTCGGCAGCGCACATATTTTGAGATTTAGTCAAAAGTATCGATTTGATACAAGAGCAATCAAGCAAGTCTGAGTCGTTTTCAATCTTTAATGAACTGTCCTCTCCTATCTACATCTCCTTCGTCCCATCTTGAGCCAATTTAAAATTCCTCGGAAATTTATGTTGACAATCTCATCGGAGTTTGCTTCTAGAATTCTAGAGGCTTCATTAATTTAAGGGCGAACTTTACATTATTAATTTAAGTCAATTTCGCCGAGAGAAATTACCCACTGACGGTTAGTTTTAAAGTTACTTGACCACACAGGAACACTCGGAAATTAATCCTCAGTTGGAGAGTCAGGAGTGATTAGAAAAGTCCTCAAGTTGCTTTCTTCGTTAGTTGGACTATGTGAAGAAGTTGCCTCGTGGAGAGGTGTTTATGTTAGTACTTGTTGAGTTTTTTCCGGTGTGAAGCTTTGCAAATTGTTGCCTAAGTTGGTCTTCCCATGCGATGGTCTCTTGCGCTGCTGACAATCTCCGTCGCTCTGAAGGAAGTTTCACCTTGTTGGCCGATTAAATTAATTTATGCCACGTCGTAACACTTTCACCCTCCGTGTTTGTCACCCTCCCTAAAGATTATTAATCTTAATGAATGCAATTTAACTTTGGAACAATTGTCACCATACCCATTTGAGGATTACACACCAGCCCAGTCATTAATTCTCCCCATCAAGCAGAAGCCAAGTCAGTGGATTTGGGGTGGATTTTCGAGATGCCCACATTCCAATGAGGTCTTCTTCTGACCAAGAAGTCAAATTGCAGCCACTCGAGATTGCAATTAGGAAGGAGTCCGTTGAAAGAAATGAAAGGAACTCTCAATCGGCCGCAGACTTTTTAACTTCTCCACCATTCAATCCACAATGGATTTCCGTTTTCCCTTGTTCACTTCCTTCCACACATTCAGCCTCTGCATCTGGGCTAGATGAATGGAGGCTCTTTCATCTGAGAATCAAACAATAAAGTGCCTCCCGGAGAGTGGTCGGAAATGTTCTTTCGCGGCGCAATTTGACATTTTCCCGACTTCGCTCTTTCTTCTCTGCACTTCTTATGGCAGGAAGCCAATGGCAGAGAAGAAGCTAATTATTGTATTTTACCATTTTGACAAATCACCACACTTATTATCTCCGTTCTTCGTCACGCGGACATCTTCTCAAGTCGCGAAATTATCTCGCAATTTGGCAATGACGAATTTTTTCCCACACACTCTCATTCGCAGTCGCTCCGGTGCGCTGAGATTTATGTTGAAGAGGAAGAGTGTGACTGGCAAAAAGTCCTCGATGTTGGATATTGACCCCAAAAATAGCCGCGAGAAGGAAGAGAGACACAAAACCCACCTTGAACGTCTTTTTTGCTAAATCCCCGTGTGACATGTTAATGATTAAAGATCTCTAGTGAAGAGACCCATCAATTGGTCATCGACCACGGCTAAATCTCCTGAGTATGACTTCATTCACAGTCAATCGCATGCAGGGTAAATATGAGATTCTGCCATTGTTTGAAATTCAATTTGGCTTACAATTTGTGTTAAATGTCTGAGAGATTGTTTGGAGAAGTGAAATGGTTTGTTTTGCTGAGTTATCTCAATTTGCATTTCAATTAAATATGCCAGAAATTCTTCTCACCGTCAAGAATTTTTCTACCCTTTTCATTCCCTTATTTCTAACCCCAAAGAGTTCTCTGGGGCGTGGCAAAGGGGTGCAAAAGGGTGAAGTGGGAGAGGTAATTAAATATTACTCGTGAATTCTTGGGAAATGCGGTGCAGGTGATATGCAAGTTTGTCCCGGAAAAACCATAGAGGGAACAAGAGACTCGTGTTGGAAAATCCGCAAGAATGTTGAAAACTTGCTTATTTACTCACATGTAAAAGTTGCAGGGAAATTAATTAAAAATTTGCACGGAAAATTCCTCTAAGGCATTGATGAAATACTTTTCTCTACTCTCAGGGAAGAGAAATTCGTGAATCTGGATCCGTACACAGACAGTATGATGATCGATTGAGGTTCTCCATATAGCACACAATGGGGAGAATTTTCACCTTAGGGCCAAATGACGGAAAATTGAACCCACACTCTCATACATTCATCCCCAAAAGAAATCTTCAGCATCACGATCGTCTCCATGCAATCTCGAGCAATTACCAAATTTTCTCCTCCCCTTTTCGCCCCTCCGATGATTTTGATTGCTCCCGTACCGTCTTGACAATAAATTGTCGACATTAGACATTTTGTCAATTTATTGGCCCCAATAGCCCCGGGCCTTCCGACTTCACAATACAAATGTTTTACAAGAGAAATCATTGATTTCTCGCAGCACTTTCAGAGATTATGCCACACATCTTCCATCTTGTGTGTGACATTTTCCGCTTGTTCGGCGCTGTCTCTCGAACCTCAATCACTTGATTGCCACTGGGGAAAAAAGCGTCTTGTAAAATTGTCTCTACTAATGACACTTTTGGCGCGACAATGTCATCTAAAATGCTCTTAAGGTCGTGAATTTGTCGCACGCGATTTCCGCAACTTGAGGAACACCTCGGGCCATACGTGCACAGGTGAGAAAAGAAGTGAAGAAAACTTACTCAGTGTCACATTGTAGGTCTTCTGAAGATCCACTTGTCCACGCAGCGCTCGCAGGCGTCTCAGCTTGGATTCCTGCGCCTCCACGCGTTCCCTGAGCCGCCGCAGGCGTTCACCTTCAGCAGCGGCGGCGGCTCCACGAGCTTCTTGTGCCTTCAGGAAGCGCAATCGCTGCTCCTTAGCGGCGAGAAGCTGCAAACAAGATCAACATCATCATCCATACCTCATTGATCCATCACGAGTCAAGGACAGATTGGATAAGTCGCACGCCCAAGAATGTCTCGCTACTTAGAGCGCATTTTTTGCATAGCTATTAATTACGGCCTGAAATGCCGGGGTAGCAGGGGAGACGCAAGGACGCAGAGGGAGAAAAAACATGCAAGAAAATGGGTTGAATACTGTGTTAAATGTTATGTGTGCAATTAACCTGGTGCTGGGAATCGATCTGCTGCTGTTGTCTCAACGCCATTGCCCTAAGCTCGGCAGCGGTTGGCCTTCCCGGCACCTGCAACGAAGAGACATAACATGCAATTTATTAATTTTAATTATGTTATTCTCCAGTGCAAGCAGCACATATTTGTGCACAAGAACTTAATTCCTGCACGGAGGGTTCGGGAGTCATGGAGAGATGGTTTGATAATGAGATGAGTTCCTCAGGTATTTGGCACAATGCAGCGTCTCCGCAGACATCATGTCAGAGATTATTTCAAGCTTTGCACACTATCACATGACGTCCATGCTATTGAAATGATTTACTTTGCATCGCAACCGCAAAAAATATGCCACGAATTCAACTGAGAATCTAATTGAATCACAAGGAGAAAATTTAGTGCTGCAGAGAAGCCACAAAATCCTCAAAGTTATGGAATTTCACATGAATGTCCCTGGAGACGTCACAAGTCACATCACAGAAGGAGCAAATTATGATGGATAACACCGCAATTTACTTCCACGGCAGCTCGCACACACATAAAAGAAGGATTTCAGTGGCAATCCTTTTTGGCGGGAATTTATGCTACCAAGGATTATCTTGGGGAAATATTTCACTGAATCCTCGGGGATTTACAACCCCCAGGAAGAGAGGCAGACAGAAAAATGCCGTGGAGGCGATGAAAAAACTCTTTTTGTCTCGCCGACATGTCTTAAAAACAGGAAAAATTTATTACTACCCTGCGTGAAATCAATCAAAAGAGTGAGACACAATCCGGAAATCTTAAGTGAAATTTGTCTCTCGATAACTTCTCTTTCAATCACGATGTCCATTGCTGGTCAAGGTAATCAATCAAGACCCGATTTTGGGGTCAAATACAAGTACTTAAAGTCATGTCGAATTCGCTAAAGTGATTGATTGTGTCTCAGAAAAAGTTAATTCGACTAAATTAACAATGCAGACTTTGTGTGAATTTTCCCAAGTGATCTAAAATAAGGGCAGTAAGATTACTATATGTATTTTGATTTTCTTTACAGTTTGAAAAAAAGCAGTTATCCGTGGAATGGAAAAGTTGGTGGAGAAAAGTTTGCTAATTACTCTTAATACGGGAAGATTACACTTCAATGTTTAATAAAAACAAAGCGTATTCTTTGAAAATCCTTTCAGCTGATTTACTGAAATGCTTTCCGAAATTAACATTAGAATTCACATGAAAACTAAGATAATATTTATGGAAAATATTCCAGTTTCCCAAATATCTTCAGTGAGGAATGGGAATCGGTGATCTGTCCTATGCATACACCGGAAGTGTGCACAATTTCCACTGCCATATGGATGTGGCAGTGACAGCACCGTGAAAAGGTAAATTGTATTCTAAAAGAGTTCTCTCCTCTCCGGCGCATTTCACTGCAGGAGGTGTATTACAAAGTTTATACATATGAACCGTCGGACAGAATTGCGCCATTGAATTGGGACTTTTCTAACAATGATGAAAACTCAAAATGCTACCAAAGCCGGGATCTAATTGCGGAGAATTGCTGAAAGAGACATTCTAGCTTGAAAATGTCAATTAATTGTAGCATGAGAGAGGAAATTTTCGCTGTAATATCTATGCTTGTGTGTATCTTTCACCGAAACTTTCTCCCTCGCAGCGCTCATATTGCTAACATTGGGAAATTAGCTTAAAATTTTCAGCAAAACCTTCCGTAAGTTGGACGATTAAGTTCTTCAGCAGTTGAAGAGGGAAAGTAATAATTTCACTTGAGTTCCATTTCTGACAAACAATTAAGTGGAATGTCTGCTCGTCGGGCGCTTTCCACCGTTTATCCAATATCATGTCTAGCTGCGCGAATAATTTTGAAATATCTTGTGCAGCACATAATAAGCTTTAGAAAGGAACTTTTGCTGCACTCGCAAACTTCCTTAAGAACATGGTCTTTGAAGACTTTTATCTCTTCTTGCCCGAGTGCCTTGGATGCTTCTGAAGCAAATTTAACAAAAATCAATTATTATGTCGTTCTCTTCAGTTTGCATGTTTCGCACTGAGAAAATTACACATGTGAAAAGACAACATACAAGATTGAATTCCGGGACTTGAAATTTCATATGGCATGTAAATCACAATCCTTTAAGTCCATTTCGTAGACAAATCGCCTTACACAATTCCACAATCGATTTCCATTTCCGTCTTTAAGCACGAGAAAATGTGTTTTGAGAAAGGATTTGAGAGGTCAATGCCATGTTTGTCTCAATTACACTATACAATCCAGAGTATTGAAAAGCTCGACGTCGTCAATTCGCCGAGGAGGATCGCACAATAGAGCGGGAATTGTTTGCTGTGTGCCGAGAAATTTATTTGGGGAGTAATTTTGTGAAATAAGGATTTAAGAGGGTGAAAGAGTGAAGAAGTTTCCCACGCAGCGCATTTGACAAATTGACTAAACGAGTCCCAATTGTGTCCAAGTGGATTGAAATGTAAATCCATGTGAGGGGACGTGAGACGGCGGGGGGCATATTTAAACTGCGGAGTGTTGCTTGTGGAAGCTTTACAAGCGCACAAAAGGCGAATAATGCGGAGAACGAGGCAGAGCAAAAAGAGTTGGATGGAAATTTGTAATGCTGGGTGGAAGACGAGGAATATCACTCAACAATAATGTACTACATATACCATTTTGTACGTGGAAAATCCCGATTATGCTAATTTTCTCACGCCAATACACAATTTTCCGCCTCGAGCACGAGAGCTTCGATGTGTGTCGAAAGTATGCAGCATATTCTTTGTCTCATCCACTCATGAGAGCAGGATTTGCCATCTCTGCCAAAGGAAAGTGATCATGAAGTGGGTGAAAGCTGCGAGAAATTCAATCTATGAGACAGACAGAAAACATCCCTAATGTGCGCAATTTAATTCTCTCATTGCGCACAGTCTTTGCGATGCAATATTGCTCATTATTTCATCTTTGTGCATTTTGCATGCATCTCCTGTGAAATTGAAGGCAGAGTCAACTGAGTGGAAGAGTTATGCTCTTTTTGTTACTGTTTACCCTCGAAGCGCCCAACCCCTTGACTCATTGAGTTTTCCACGATAATTAATTCGGCATTATGATTCAATTTTCATTGAATGCAATTCGAAGAGTGAAATTCAATTTTAATTAACACTGTTGAACTCAAAAGCTTCATATATTTTGCTGCATTCTATCTGCTACTGTTTATCTACAACTTAAAAGCGCCAGCGTTAGAAAAAACTCTTCACACACAAACACAATTCCCGCCAATTGCAGTATTGAAGAGATGAAATACGCTCTCGTTCTTCATTTCTCTATCACAACTTGAATATATTCAATACAAACTACTATTTATGCACAGCTTCAGCTCGCAATTAAGTTTCATCTTCTATCATTTCACTCACCAATGTTGATGGCAAAAAATTATGAAAGCGCACGTTATGGAAATAGAGAATTTAAGCGCTTTTCCAGTGTGAATAAAAGGGAGAATAAATTAAATTAAAACTCTCTGTCGATATAATTTTTGTTTACTTTATTTCAAGAGTGGATTTCAAAAACATATTTGCGGAATAACCAATGAGAAAAGTGCATTTCAGTACTTAGCGCGCGAATTTATTGCACATACACCAGATAATTTGATCAATATGTATTTTAATTATTTCCCTTATTGCTCATATATTCGCACATTTCAAATTACGTCAATTCATTTTGGGATTAAATGGAAAACAAAACGAACGATGCGTAAATACAAATGCCACTTGCCAAATCGATTACACTTATAATGTTATATGCATTTTCTTCCGAAAGAAAATCTTCTTGGCTTGGATGGATTTTCAGCTTTGCCGGGAAACTCTAAAATTTAATCAATAATCTTCTTTTCTCTGTTGCAAGGAGCACATTCCATTAAGTACTCCTAAATGATTAAATAAATACATGAGCGAGAATTTCTTCGCATCGGAAATTTGCGCTTTCAAAGCTCGCATCCAAAGAGCACAGGAAATTTTACAATCTACTCTCAAATAACTGCTCTCTCACTCCCTCTCCCTTGTTGCAGCGAACACACATCACACTGGCATCTACTTTGAAAGCAATTAAGTGACAGAAGCGGAGGCGGAAAGGCCACGCCATGTCCCCTAATAAATATTTTATTTTCACCCTGATTTTCTTTTTTCAAACTTTCCCTGGGAGAAAGAATAATGGTCGATAGTCGCGAAAGGGCAGAGATTTAATGGGTGGTGCCACGAAAAAAGATGAATCATCGTCAACAATTAATAAATAAACTCCGCAGAAAGTTGAACGGTCCTTTTGCCGCCCCCAAAAAGCAGTGGGAAAAAATCAAGAAAATCCAGCGGAAGCAATAAATTTGCCTTTTCCATGTTACACTATACACGCTCCTCTGCCTTAGGCTCTAGGGGAGCCTGCTCCTTTCCCAGGGCACGTGATAAAGGGGTGAATTGAAAACAAATAGCGGTGGTTGTGTGCGTAAAAAAGCAATTTTCTCCACAGGGTGAAAATACTTCCTCCACCTTCTGATTGAATTACCTTTTAATTATATCTCAACCCTCTTGAATTGTAATTTGTTCAAGTGGAATCCCCGCGTGTCTTGAGTGTCAATGACGCGGAGGTGGTTTCCATTTGGCCTTCTAAGCCGACTTTATCTAAAGCCCTCCCCAGTTCAGCCCTGGTCGGCAGTGGGGACGCCTTGTTGCCACGAAATGACGCCAATTTGGGGCATTCATTTTAAGGATGGAGAGGAGAGTTAAGGAATCAATAAGGGTGTGTTGATTGATTCCAGTGCGGTGGTTTACCCTCGAGAAGGGAGAATCATTCCCGCCCTTCGGTGGCAAAAAGGTTCCTCATGATTAAACATTCAACCCCATCGAAAGTTCGTGACTTGTGACTCGGCAAGGAAGACTCAGGGAAGGTAAGGGCTCATAAATAGCGCACTCTCTCAACATCATCATTGTCAATTAAACACAAAAAGTCTCTCTTCCAGGACAAATATTTATTCACTCCGTCTTCCAAGCGAGACTCTCTCTCTCTCTCGGGCCCTGTCGCTACCCAAAAGTCATACCAACCAGATACAACCCAGCAAGGGGATGGGGTTCAAAGCATTTACCAGTTGTTTTCAAGGGTAGAACAACTCAGGGAGATCTTGTGCATTCAAGCACTCGAGACATTCTCCCTAGAGCTCAGTGGAGTTCTTTCGCACAGGCAAAATACGAGGTATTCCTAAAACCACCTCCAAGATTCAACTTTCAAGAGATACACAATGCGAATCCAATTCACTTTCCTCCCTGAGAATTTGCATCGAGAAGCTGAAGAACATTTCTTGCCGGTGGCCTCTCAGACTGAAATTAACTTTCTCTCTCCGCACGATGAATTTCAATTGAATCATGTGTACTTTTGACACTTTCCGACTCCCAAACCTTATACAGAACACAGTGGCATGAATGTGTAGAAATCTTGCTATCCCACTCGGGCGGTTTTTCAAGAGTTCCATGACCATAACTTAGCAAAACTACACGAGAGCGATGCCTGGCAAAGTTTGCTAGGATAATAGCTGGAGAGCATTTGAAAATCACCCATGAATACGACGTATTTAAGGTGAATTGTGAAAGAGAAACATTTGCACAAAGCAAACACTACGAGGGAGTTTGTCAACAATTTGTTCATAATCACAAACTCTGCGCCGAGACAGAGTGTCTGGTGAATTAACATTAGGGTTCATTAGAGGGTTTTGAGGCTTGATATTTTCACGGGAAAATGTGTTTAGAATCAAGGCGCGCATGAATTGAGGTCGGGAGTGTTTCTTGTTACGTGTCAACGTGTTAAACTCCATGCTGAAAACTTGCAACCGCAGGGTGAGAAATGTGATATATCCTCGGGAATTGCAGGATAAATACACCGAATATAATAGAGAAGCCAAGTGATAAGCATGAGCTTATTTTGCACCTGTCTGAAGTGAGGTGACAAGGGGAAATTCCGTAAACCACAGCTTCACTTTGATGAGGATTCGCTGCCTTTCACCAAACGAATTGACATAATTCACAGGAATATTCTAACCAATGCGTACTTATCATCTATTTCTTGAGGAAAACCGACAACTTCCTGCCATTGACAATCGTATTTTGTGGTATTACATTGAGGTATGTTCTTATTTTCAATATTTCTACCTTGACTTTAATTTCCTTCTTCAATTTTTTTGCAAGACAACATAATTTCCATGACTCTGGCCTCATAAAATGGCCACAAATTGAAATTTTAATTGCTGTCCCCAATTTGAGCGAAGAATTGTGGAATGAATCTAAATAATAATATAAACGACATAAGAATTTCTCTATAATAAAATTGAAAAGAAGCGAGAAAACGAAATGGTTCTCGTTATTTTTACCACGTTTCACTGAAAAATTCATGGGAGATTAGAATGGAAAATGAGAAATGTTCCAAATGACATACGAAATTTCCTCCACAGTCCCATGTCTCCAGAAAGCCGCACAGCGGATAAGTATAGGATTGAGAAGGGGTTGAAAATTCCTCGTAAATGTCATCGCGAGATAGCATTGGGCTGTATCAAGCTGTCTTCTGACATGCCTTAATAATACAAAATTAACTGTGAATGACACTAAAAGTGTGTGTGACACTCTGGTGGTATTCCGTGCCATCATAGTCATGTGAATTCATTGCAATTCTGGGCACATAGAGAATTTTCAGGGGGCGGCGCGGTGCCACCCCGTCGCCAAACAACTCTCTCGCTCCCTGTCTGCTGGCTTCCATTGACAGTGATTCCAGGGCGGAAGCTCGCGTCTGGGCAGAATGATCTGCTGACACATTTTCAGGCAACATTTCAAATTCGGGGATGATGTGGGCGTGGGACGGGAATAGGCGGAAGTATAATTTCCGCGACAAACTGTCATATTCTCGGCTCAATTGTGCACACACATAGAGAGATGGTTATGTGGGCGAAATGGAAGCGAAAAGATAGGAAAATTGCACTCAAGTGGTGCAATTTCTCCACACATCATCTTGACAATATATCCTCAGAGGCACAATATTGGGGAGTTATCAGAGTGAGAAGAATCACATGAATAATCCATTTTCGATATCGTAATTGATCTTGATGGTGTTTCGTGCCGTTGGGTTTCCTCTTTGTCGAGGAATATTTCTTCCTCCTAAATATGATCTCTCTGGTGTGAAGGAAAACCACCCATAAAATACACTTTCACACTAATGTGAGCCTCCTTGTCACTCTTTGCGCACATAAATTCCCCTTAATTAAGATAAATGATCACCGCACCAGCATTTAATATGTATACTGCCTGGGAAGGTGGGTGGCATAAAAAGAAAATTGTGTAGAAGGGTAAACATGCTTTTGGGGGTAGCACACAAATATCGCTGGCAAGTTTACCTTCTTCGATGTCTTGGACTTCTTAACGATTGTCGCTGTGGCGAATCGTGGCTCTGCTGTTACCACAATTGGGCTTCTCTTCTGTGGAGCCATTGTGGATGGCTTGGGCAGAGAGCTGGTCACTGGACGACACACACAAGTCAGCATTTTTGCACTTCACTGTCTTGCTGTCCCCCTTTTCACCGAGACTTCCACGAAAAGCGAACTTTGCTCGAAACCCTCCTTAAACTTTATCAGTCTTTCAATCTCATGCAGACGAGCGTAATTTCGGGCTGTCGTGGAGATATTCATGTGTTATTATAGTGTGTTCTCTCGTGTGCTCACTAATGGATATCGAAGCGAAATTGGCGATGATCAGTGACCCTTCTGGACGAAACCCTCTGACCCAGCGACTCACTGTCTATTGCCGCCTGTAATTGCAGTTGCAAGAGTGGCAATGAAGGGTACTGGCAAATTGTCCGCGGAATTTCATTTCCACATTCAACGATGACTACAGAATGTGGAGGAAAACAGAAGAGAGAAAAGAGTGTAATTGCCCAATTTCCGCTTTTTACCTCTCATGAGAGTCTCACACGAAAATTTTCATTCAATCTCCCATCAAGACCACGGTGAAAGACTCTTTCCATGGTCACTTCATTATATAAATGCTACCACATTATGCAATTGATGTACATCTTTTAATTAATTCCTCACGAAATATAAAATTCTCCTCATTCCCTCGCTTGTTCGTATTGTTTAACTTGTGTCTCATGCTTTATTTGCGAGAATGTAGACACAGAAAGGGGCAAAAATATGAGAATTGATTCAACAAGAGAGGAGTTAAATTTGCGCTACAAACTCTGCCTAAACTTTCGACTCTGCGTCTTTTTTGTCTCGCCAACTTTCATCGTACCAACTCGTCTCGGAGGTACAGAGAAAGTTTCCCTGTTCAACATCCACATCCCGTGATCAGGGAGTTGATCCTTATGAGTAAATAAAGGGAAGAAAAAACTCTTTGTCAACAGCGTCGAGAGTCCTCAATGGAATGAATCCCTGGCTAAATGAATGAGTGTGTGTATCTCATTAAAAAATACGGCGCGAGAGAGTTGAATAAAATGTGACGTGCGAATGGTTGGGCGGGAGAATAAAGATTTATAAATTCAAGTTTTTATCCATCTTCAACTTTTCCTCGTGTTCCCTCTTTCACAGTACACTTTTCACCTTTTCTCAAAGAAAAGTAATGAAACAATTTTTTTTTCTCCTTTAATTCCACGTCTCTGTGTACAATTCTGTGTCAACAATTTCCCTCTCTTCCTGGCCAGAAAAGTACGAATGGTGAGTGTGTGAATGAAGAAAATCGAGGAAAATATTTTCTAGGCCACCGAGAATATGAGAAAATTGAGATTATTCCACTTTATTGGTTTTTTGGACGAAATATTTCGTAATTAAAATGCCCGAAGCACTTTCCTTCTCGTCTCCTTTTTGCTCTTCATCCCCATGAAGAGCTCTTCTTTCTGAACAACAGGAAAATCACATGGGGAAAATTATCTGCACCACATTGTGGAATCACACTTCTTTTCTCTCTGTCTCTCTGCCATGTCATTTTCCTCCTTTTGAGCCACTCACACTGGCGAGAGGATCTTTTCTGGCGTGAGCAAAATTAACAAAGTCCCTCGCATTTTTCACCCAGAAATGAGAAATGAAACACAAAGTTTCTCACTCAAAATAAATAATTTATTGTGGGTGGTTCTCCACTGAATTTACATCTCTCAAATGCACAGATTTATCTTCCCTGTGAGAATGGAACAAAAAAATACGCCTTTCTTTCAGTGTTCTTGTAATTCTATAGTTTTCCTCATGAATACACACTTTATACAATGCTGACAGACAGATTTGCGCAAGAAATAACTACGCGTTCATACGTCTAAGAATAATACATATCGATTCTCTGCACTTAAAATGTGTGAATGGTCTGAGTACAAATTTCTTTTAAATAAATTTATGAATCTTTGAAAGTCTGCAAAAATAAATAATTCAGTCCAGCATTCTCACCACCGAGCTGCGGATTCGAGTGTGCAGGGTGTAAATGAGAAATGAAATTTAGGTGAAAAGCTTGGGTATTTTCTTTCATTTTTTGCCCCTCTTTCCGCACATTTCCTTACCGCCATTGCGTAATGTTATAATGATTTGACTGGAAGGTAGCAAAAATTCTCTATATGAGAAATGCATAAAATATTTCATAGGTTTCATAATTTTCACATGGTAGCAAATAAAAAGAAGCTAGCAATGTATGAAATATCAAATCTGTCTGACAATGAAATATACATAATTTCTTTTGCTGGCTATATATAGTCCTTTGGGTATTTTCTTTGCTCTCGCAGTACATATTTGGGTATATAAATGTTTTTTTGGACACACTCTCGCTCTCAAGGAAGCGTTCTATTTTTCCTCACTGTGGAAACATGTGGGCAAAGTGCGGAAAATTCACCTTGAGAATACAACTGGATGGGAATGTGGATTGAGAGAGGAAGGGCGAAAAAAGGCAGCCAGGATGTACGAAGGAAAACAAGAGTGTCTTAAATGTTCGAAAAATTGTCACAAGGAACACCATTTGCACTGAGTATCGTCATGATATGGGAAATGGGATTTTCTCTGGAATTCGCCCATTTCTAGGGTGCTCCCCAAAGCCACCCTTCTGCCCCTCCCGCTCGTTCGCCCACAAATAGAGCAGAAAGCGGGGATGGCAAAAAGTGGCATGGAAAGAGAGCAGAGAAAGTGGTACAGAAGTAGGTGCACAGTGCAACAAGTAGTTGATGGACTAACCCAACATTTTGTTGTTTTCAGCCACCCCCAAAAGAGATTCTCCTCCATGGGGACGTGGCGTCTGAATTCCCATCGATTGTATGAGTTTTTTCCTCTCGCTTGCTCACACTTGTTATTTTCCTCATAGCAATTCTTTATTCACTGTTTATTCCGACTTCCTGTATCACCATGGAGAAGCTTTTGCGAAGTGTTTTGGTCGCCCAACTCCACAATTCTATACCCTGAGGCATCATGAAAAAGTTTACCTCAAATGTAGCCACTAAAGTGCCCATCACTTGAGGGAAAGCCATTTCTTTTCACCATTTCGTTTGCCTTTTCAGATACCCCAAAATAGGGCGATTCAAGAAATACAACACTTTTGATAGTTTCACGTTTCGAAAAGGAGACGTTTATGTGGGAAGTTTGGTCTCTGAATTTCCGAATTTTATCACACTAACCTGAATTTTATCAATTTCCCTTTTTCCCCACAAATCGACAGATTCGCCATTATCTTGGCGAATGTCTTATAAAGCTTCCAATCTTCCTTTGCGAGAATAAAGTTAACATATTCACTCGCCTTTAGCAAGAAAACATGCCCTAAAATCTACCTGCAAAATACTTCAAACACTGGTGTTTTCAGAATGTCCGAACCAGAATTTATCAGAATAGATTAATTCGGTGTGAGTCTGGTTTTCTGTTTTTCATGCTGTTCCGATACTTTAAAGCAATATTTGGGGAGTAAATTTACACATTATACGCCATCCAACGTGGGGTGGTGCAATTGAACAAAACACACACTTCACATAATAATAGTGCTGAAATTTCCCACATCCGCCCAGTCATTATGACAAACTTTAGCGATCTTTTACCACCATCGTGCTCAGCGATTCATACGCTGCTCCGGCCGCATAAACAATAAATTCAATTTAACCCACTGTTACAATATTTCCCGTCTCGCTTCCTCGGGCGAGAGCCGGAAAATGCGCAAAAACCCATTTTACATCTAACATTTGTAATTAAACGATTTAATTTTGAACATAGTGAATAATTAATTTGTCACCATTGCGATGGGGCGGAATGGGATGTGTAAACTTTACACGACGAGAGGAGCAAAGCGGCGGCGGGAAAATTCACCCAAAATCATATGTGGGGGGGGAAACTTTATGAAATTGTTCATCCCCACATGCAAAGACGGGGTGGTATGAAGCAGATGCTGCAATTTTCAAATATCTCTCAACTATCTTCTCCATTTCTCAAACTGGGAGTGTTTTGCGAATGATTCCCGAGCGTGGCACGCGCCTAAAAAGTGATGTAATTTTGTCTTGGCTCCTCCACTTGACATCTCGACTAAATGACTCCCACAATTCACCCCCAAAGTTGTGGAGCTTCGCAAAAAGGAGGCCTGCAAAAAGCCCCTAAACAATCTCGCCTCGCTGTGAATACAAATTTCCCACAAATTGTACCTGCACACTTTGAAGACAAAACCTTGTCTTCCTCAATTGAAAATTATTCAAATTTACATGTTAAAGAGAGACATTTTTATATGGAAAAAATTCCTTTGAAGAACAAAATCTCTTCTTCACATTTGCCAAAAGCAGATGAGAATATTAGGAATATTGAAGTGAAGTTTATATCGATATGTTTTCATGTGTATACGTCTGATAAGTTGTGTCATATCGAAATATCATACCCTTTTCGGGTGTCTTTTTCCTCTTTAAGGATCACATTTTCCACTCTTCTCCCAATCAATTGAGGGGAGAGATAGAACCCATGTTATCTCACCGGAAAATAGCCAGAAAAGCTAACAAAATGCAGGAGGCACAAAAATGTTCAAACCCCATTCAAAGTTGAGCTTCCGAGGGTTGTAGGAAAAGAGCTTCTCATGCGTACCCTTCACGAATTCCTCTCAGATTTACAACATGAGCGATTGATATTCAAAAAATGATGTTCCTCTAAACTAAACAGCGAAAAACCCCGCAAATACGTGAAGGGTAAAGAAATTGGGTGCTTTCCGATTTGACTTTAGAAGTTGAATAAGTTCTTTTCTGACACGGAAGCAAAATCTGTGAATTCTCGGAGAGATTGTCGTGCAAAAAAGGCGACAAAATGCCTAGTGTGATGGCATTTTTTAGGGCAGCCCGAGAGTATTAGCTCGCATGTAAGCCAGTTGCATTACACAAAGGAGGGAGACAGGGACTCCGTGGACCATGATAGGATCTAGGGGTGGCGGATGTCGTTGTAGGGCAAATTTCACAAAAGCGTGACACACACATGTCTAGCGATGGTGGGTGGGGTCGGCAAATGGTCAGAAAATATCACCCGAATGAGGAAAACTCGCCCGTGTGGACTCACATGTGTGTCGCTGAGAGTGAAAAGTCTAATTAATGCGGGCCACGAAGGTGGGGAGTGCTAAAAGGTGGACCTGGGGAAAATCTCACACTCGCCGTACAGCTGGCTGAGCACCCATTAATTCAAAGTTGCCCTGAGTGAC